AGGCTCCAGGGTCCTGAGTTCGAATTGGCTCAGCTTGCACTCAGCCATTGCGGCTGCTTGGGGAGTGAATCAATAAATGCAGGATCTTCCTCTCTGTCTCTCTGCCTATCTGCCTTTCCAATAAAAACAAAATTTATATCTTAAAAAGATAATAATTAATAAAATATTGTATTTATTTGAAAGACAGAATGACAGAGAGGAAGAGACAGAGAGGGAGAAAGATCTTTGATCCACTGATTCACTCCCCAAATAGTTGAGATGGCTGGGACCGGGCCAGGCTGAAACCAGGAGGCAGGAGCTCCATTCTGCTCTTCCACGCGGGTCACAGGAGTCTCAGGATGTGGGCCATCACCCACTGCCTTTCCAGGTACATTAGCAGGGAGCTGGGTTGGCAACATAAAGCAGGACTAGAACCAATATGCTATGCCAGTGTTGCCAGCAATGGCTTAACTTGTACTACAAAATCAGTGCGTGAGCATGGATTTGAATTCCACTTTTCCATAAACTTTTCGAAGTCCCGCATCTATGTTATATATGTATCTATCTACTATACATATGTACACGTATATATCTATATACACATGCATACACACATACGTTTATATAATAATAGCAATAGGTTACAACTATGGCTTCTTTCTCTCTGCCCTCCCCCTCTGTCACAGATCCCTCAGATCAGGCAGTCCTGGTGTGATCGCAGACCCTAGCTAAAGAAAAGTTGGGTCAAGGCTACATTTGGGGTGAGTTTAACAGAACACTTCAGGCCCTGCCATGCTGCAGGAATGGCTGTGACAACCCACAATGCCAGTTCCCCCGGCATCCTGCTGGGGGATGAATGAATGAATGAATGTGACCCATGGCAGCCAGCACTAGAAATACTTAGCTAATGAAGAAAAACTGAGAGATAAGTGGATGAAGCCAAAATCTAGATTGTACATGGAGAAATTCTTCCAACTCCTACAACTCAGATAGAAAAGTAAATTGAGTAAAGCTTTCTAAGATTCAACTATTATGCCTAAAATTCCCAGGACGTTACCAGTAACAAGTCTCAAAGCCAAAAGAAACTCCACCACCAGAACTTAGAAAAACAAATATCAATTGTAATAGTAATAAGACTCAACTATCTTTCCATTTTATCCAAAGAAAATGATCATACAAAGTTGTTATCACATAAAGATTGAAAAGTAGATGTAGCCCAAAATTATAGGGGAAAGTATTATGATGTTGTGTTAGATAACACATTATTTCAAATACTATGTGTTTTTCCTAGGTTCTATACTCATGCTTCATAAAATATGTAGTTTATTGTGATTTGTTATTCTGCATGGACATTCAGCTTTTTATTAATTCTTGACAGTAAGTTTAGGTTCTTTTTCTTAGAGAGGACCCACCAGTTATCTAAGCTTCAGGCCCTACAAACTGGGATTCCCCTTGATGGGGAGGCCATTTGCTTGGGGTCTCCCTCTCTCCCATCCTGCTTCCTACATCTATTCCTCCCTTTCCTTCCTCCATGCTGTTGCATAAGGGTATTGGCAAAATCCTGAGTGGCTCTAGGCATCTGTGTAATAGACAGCCTTCCAATCACACTTTGAGAATCGTTCAAAGTGTAAATAACAAACAGATCAGGGATCCCATGCCAGGATTATTGGGAAGTAATTCTTCAGAACCTTGTTAAATGGTTATTGCTCCTGCACATGCAATATAAAACCCAGACCATATCACATCTGGTGTCCTTCATGACCATGATGGATAACCACAGAGTGAACTAGAGATTGGCTGGAGAGATTGGCTGGAGTGACTAAGCCTTGACTGACATCCTGAGTGTCAACTTAATGCTAACCAGTAGGAATCTGATCTGTTGGTTGCAAAAGTCTGGAGCCGTGTGAGATTTGGCAATAGGAAAGAGCACCCACTCTTAATTTCCATACAAAGTGGATAACATCTGAGACCTTTACAACCATGGTCTAGTCCATTTTAACCTAAGTTGGGAGAGGAGGACATTTGTCCCCAGTTTTGGTGAGATAATGCAGTGAGACTGCAGATCTGTAAAGCTATGTAAGGTGGTGCTTCAGCTGTCTTTTTATAAGGCCTAGATCTGAATCTTCAGAAGAAATCAGCTGGTACTCTCCTACGGCACACAGTGACTAATGACTCGCCTCAAAAGACCCCTCGCATGATTCTATTTTAGATGAACTACAGGAAGGTTATTAATGCTTCTGTTATCAATCAATTAAGCTTGCCAAAGAGTTTCCTGAGAGGCACAGTTCCTAAAATACAACTCTATATGGAGTTGCCCAAGACAGAGATGCCTGGGGTCCCCCAAGTGCCCTCTGTGACCACAACCACCCAGGCCCCAGAGGCTGCTGACTCCTTTTGTTATAAGAGATTTGCCACCACTCCCCTCTAACCAGTGCTCCAAAACTTAATTCAAAAGAGGTGCTAAAGGCCATTCCTTTCTCTAACTTTTCTTAGCTTTAGTACTCCAAGAAATTTTATCCCTAACTCTCATGACCACAGTGACCCTGATTCTAGAAGCAATAGATTAATAATACCTTGTCCCTGTGGTTTAGGAAATTCTTTTCTCTGTTTTCAGGATAAAAATAAATATTACTCAGATGGATCTGTGACTCTGCTTTGGCAGAGAGTTTCAGAGTCTGGAGCCAGAAAGCAGTGGAGACACATTCATAGGCTCCATTTCAGGGTCTCAGAAGACAGCAGCAACCTCAATGACTGTGAGAGAGGAGCAGAATGCTTGGCTAGTCGCAGGCTTTTAAATCAACACCCTGAAAGCAATGGTGAGGGCCACCTCTTGACCATTCTCATATTGAAAGAGGTTCTCAACAAATAAAAGATGGAAGTTCTGTCATGGGCAAAAGTAGTACCTTACCCACCAATGATATACAGAGATATGCTAAGTGCCTAGGTTCCACAGAACCATAAAGGACAGTTTTTATTGAGAGGACCTTCCAGTCCAAGCAGAGAGTCAGTGTGAACACCAACATGTAGGGAAGAATAGGAGACATGTCACAATGGAGGACAAGACAGAGCTGCAAGATTTCAGCTCCAGGAGATGACTTGAGGTGGAAGAGAACCCATGAAGATGGCATTGGTGTGACCTTGGCACTGGGCCTGGAGGCCCACACATGAGCTGCCATGTGGATCCCCACCCAGCACAGGTCTACTGCCAGTGGAGCTCAGGGCTCTGGCTTAAGTTCATTATCTATTGCTGCGTGACACATGACAGTCCATTTGATGGCTTCACACACACACACACACACACACACACACACACACACTACCTCAAAGTTCTGTGGGTCAGAAACATGAGTGCAGGTTCCCTGCCTCGGGTCTCAATGAGTAGCACTCACCTCTGGAGTTCCTCCAAATCCGCTGGCAGCATCTATTTTCTTGCAGTGCAAGACCGAGGTCCCGGTTTTCTCACTGGATGTCAGCCAGCATTTCTCTCCACATTTTGAGGCCAGCTCCTGATACAGCCTCCACAGGGCTCTCTCACAGCATGGCAGCCAATCTCTCTCTATTGGAGGGAGGCCCAAACCCTCCTATCCAGGACTTGCCTGATAATATCAAGACCCTTTACCCCAGGAATCTCCACTTGGATTAAACCAAGGTGACTGAGGAGAGATTTCACTTACCACAACCAAATTGTATAAACTAATTGCTCAGGTACAGTCCCACCACAGTAGTGGGTCCTCCACACTAGAGAGCAGGGGATGACCTGGGACATACCTATCAGGGCTAGAAATGTCAGGGTTAATCTGTGGCTCCTCCCTCACATGATTTAAACAAAAGTGGAATCTTTAGCACTTACATGATAGCACAGTCCTCACTGAAAATTCCAGCCTTGTCTGTCAGTGTAAAAGGATAGCACTCTAAGAGGCAAGCAAACGGATGGTGAGAAAGAGAACAGGCAGCCCATGTTCTCAAGTGCAGCCACCACACTCTGGAGTGTTCGCCCCATGAATGGTACCCCACTGCCATACACACTACACATGCTATTCATACAATGGTGGCACGTACCCCTTCTCCTGCTGGTGGGTGGGGTCTGTGTAACCCCTGTAGACTTGGGTACAACTTTGTAACTGCCTTGTCAACAGGGTATAGCTTGACCATGAGATGGGGGAATACAGGACAAGCCATAGAAACAACTGTGCACAGGGGACAGCCCAGCTGCCCCCTCTATTGCCCTCTTAGGTTGCAGAAAAACGAACGTGGTTTCCAAGTGCCAGCTGCATTTCCCACTTGATGCCACGTCCCTGTGCTCTGCAGAGCATGTCATTCCAGCTGTTTGGCTGCATCTCAGGAAGTACCGAAGTGAAGAAGGCTTTGCACATGTGTTCTTGCTTATCTGGCTGGGAGTGGGAGAGAGCAGTTCTGAAGGATCCGGAAATGTAGCATAGATGGAGCAGTGTGGGAGGTTGGTTGGGACAGCAAAAGCAAACAGTTTATCTATCACACACACACACAGCACACCCAACACACACATACACACACACACACACACACACACACACACACACACACACACACACACACACACACACACGGCACCATTAACCTCCAAGAATAAAAACCTGGTGTTAGATAGGGTTGGGTTTAAATGCTCCTGAGGATCTAAGGAAAATTACAATAGTGCTATAGCATTTTGCAACCACTCAATCCAAGCTCTCCGTCTTACAGAGAAGTTAGGGTTTAGCTGAACAAGCTAGAGCTATATTCCCTCAGATCTTGTACTAGGGAAACCCTTACTATGCCACTCCTAAAGTTGTACAAAGTCCCACGTTGTTGTGCCTTTAGCCCTAATCTCATACACCTACACACATTCCTTTTCTTACCTGTTGTTTTGACCTAAATTGGGAGAAAACAATAAAAGGCAGGCAGGAAGGAATTTGTTGCTTTCTCTCATGACCCATGCACAAAGCCACAGGCTTTTTTTTTTTGTCTCAGCATATCCAATGTCATCGTTTTTATTTTCATTTCAGCACCAAACCCAGATCTGAAGACGTTCCACATGAAGCTGCTGTGGTAACAAGGATGACAGCAAGGTGAGCAGATGTGGGACAAAACCAGACTTCTCTTACACAGGTGTCCCTCCCTGGCCCACACTCAGAGCTTCCCTTTCTCTTGGTATCCTAAGAACAGGTCAGGGACCCTGAGCCACAGACTCCAGGAGGCCAGCTTTCCCCTGGATGCCCTTGCTCCAGCTCTCAGTCCTCCCCACCTCCACCCGTCCTGTTTACTGCCAGATCCGGCTGAGGATGACTCTGCCTGCAGCAGCAGGAATGGTGGGTACCTGCCATTCAGGACCCACTGCTCCAAGCCAGGTGTCTGCTCTCACCAACGCATCCCATGCCTGTTAGGCAGGGCAAGTTCTGTATCTCCCAGCTGCAGCCCAGTAAGAGAAAGAAAACCAGTTTTCACTCATCCTCACCACCCAGGGTCTTGGCCTGCTTCCAGTGAGGTCCCAGTGAGGTCACCCAGCAATCCCAGAGAGGCGGTTCTGCCCCATGAGCAGCCTCTGCACCTGTGACCAGGAAGGCTGTCGCCGTGGCCCAGCCCCACACTTCCCTCCCACACCAGCCCTTACCCCTGCTGTGGTCCAGGGTTCCTTGAATCCCCCAAGATGTTCCTTAGGGGGTGGTGTGAATGGAGCTCAGCCAAGTTAGCTGTCAGGGGAGGCTGTCCTTTCTGTGGCTGCTGGCAGGAGGGGAACTGCATGTGGCTCCCCTGCCTTGCCCTCATGGGGGGGCGGGTCCCTTCATTCCCCGCTTTCTGGCCTTACTATGGCATGAACTGTGTGCCACAGGCCCTCAGAACTCTGTCTTTTTATTTGCTAGAGGCTGGTTTGAAAACTTTTTAAAGGCTTCAATATTACTGTTGGTGGTGGTGTGGTTTTTGTTTGTTTGTTTGTGTTCTTACTGTAATAATCCCACCAAAACAAGGACCAAGAACGCAGGAAGGAGTGTCTCAATATTTTCCTTTGCACATTTTAGCTTGGAGATTTATTGCCATAATTTTGGGGTACAACCTGATTGCATACCCTTATGTATTTCTTAATGACAATTCCTATGGTTTGGATAGGGCTTGGGTGTACCCCAAAGGTCCATGTGCTACCAGCTTGGTCCCCAGTGTGACCGTGATGGGAAGCCTTGAGGACCTCATGAGAGCTGATTCAGAAGTAACATGGATGGCATTCATATCAACACTCTGAAATGGGATATGGTTTTCCAAATGGTAGCCTAATCCACTACACAATACATGTCCCTGATGTTATTTTCTACATATTTTTTTCCTCTTTCAGTCTACAAAGTCAGAAATGGTGCTCTAGAATTTTTATATAAGAGGTGTCAATTGAATTAAGAGGAAGATTAACTCAGGAGGCTTGACGTTACATTTACATAAAATAGAGCTACTATAAACATTCATATGCAAGCTTTTATGTGAACATAAGTCTTGAATTCTCTGGGAAAAATGCCCAGAAGTAAAATTGCTGGATTGTATGGTAGTTGCATGTTTAGGCTTTAAAGAAACCGCCAAGCTGTTTTCCAGAGTGGCTGTGCATTCCCACCAGTCTGCATCCTTGGCAGTGTCTAACTGACATTATTTTATTTTAACCATTCTGATACATATGTAGTAATAGCTCATTTCCATTCCCATTTCTGTTTTTCTCATGATTAAGGATAGTGAAAATCTTTGCATGTGCACGTCTCTTTTGGTAAAATATCCCATTGTGTCTTTATGCATTTATAACTGGGTTTTTTTTTTTTTTGGTGTTTTTACTGTTGGCTTGCAAGAATACTGTATATATTTTAGATACAAGTTCTTTGTCAGATATGTGCCTTGCAAATATTTTCTGATACTCCATAATTTAGTTCTTGTCTTAGCAGGAGCTTTTGTACAACAAAAATTCTTAACTTTGATGAAATTCAATTAACTAATTTTTACTTTTATAAATCATATTTTGTTGTTAAGTATGAGAAACCTCCACCTAAACCCATACCTGTGTTTCCTTTTAAATTTTTTATAGTTCTACATCTTCTATTTAAGTCTATGGTCCATGTTGAGCTAGCTTTTGCAGAAGATGAACACCGTAGGTCTACATTCTTTTTGTTTTTCTCCTGTACTAGTGATTGAAGTCTACCCTCCCATTATATTGAACTGCCTTTATACTTTCGTTAAAAATTAGATGAGTATATTTGTCTATGTTCATCTCCGGGTGAATCCATGTGTCTATACTTCCCCTAAAGCCACACAGTAACCATATAACACATGTTGAATTCAACAGACCAATTCTTCCTACTTAATTTTTCTGTTTCAAAAATTGTTTTATCAATTCTAGTTAACTTTGCCTTCTGCTATAAAAAAATTAAAATATTCTTGTCTTTGGTTTCCAAATCTTTTCCTGGGAATTCAGTCAAGCCTCAGCTTAACCCGTACTGCATATATAGAAATTCTCAGCCTTTAAGATGCAGTTGTACAGTATGACTACTTAAGATGGAGCAATATACCCTGTATAGTTCCCAGATTTATCTGACCATAGAACTTGACTTTGTGAAACAGCCCCTTGTCTGACAGTTGTGAAGAAGCCTCTGAAAGAGGCTATGATGCAGGATGAATTCCCAACTCCCAGACCTGGTCCCAAGGCACACCGGAATCAAATCCCTGTCTACCTTTCCACCTTTGACCATGCAGGGGTCCCACACACTCATCAGATGCAACCACTCTCTGTTCTGTTAGCACTTTTAGTTCCTTCTTTTTTGTGGTGGAAAAGGCTTTATCAACAATAGCTTCCCCAAGGGTGAAGCAAGAACCCACCTGACCTTGGCCCTTGAACCCACAGACCCTTTTCTAATCACCAAACTAAAATGTAATCTCCGTGATTCAAACTTAGAGCCACACTGACATTATAAGCTTGGGTTCCTGTTCTTTGCTAAAGAGCGACATTGAGGATGGCCCTAGCTATGCATTTAAGTGTACACACATCAAGGCATATACACTAAGGAGACTTGATTTCTGTTGCTGGCTAAGAACTGCTTTTTCTTGAATTATTATTTGTTAACTGAAGAAATTTACAAGACCAGATTGCTGGGGTAACAAGGACCTGTGAAACAAATACAGCCAGAAATATGCCTGTGGTAGAGCTCTCTTCCATTACATTTCTGCAAAGTTGAAACCATCATAACCATCATGCAGATATCTCTTCCCTTTCAACTCCCAGTGACCACTGAAAGTAGTTCAGGTATTAACACAGGAATTGCAGAGGTTTTTTTCCATTTCTTTTAAACAAATCCTTGTGATGTCTAAAAACTAGTCTTTCTGAACCCCTAAGTGCAATCATATCTTTGGACAGCTGAGTCACTCTCATTGAAAAGCAGGCTCTCTAGGTAATGATGTGGCTTCATGGAACATGGGCCATGTTTATCAGTATTTCAGTTGCACGGAACACTGTGGCAGCTGCAACAGGTGGTTATCTCCCTCGATAAGAACTAAGGAGGTTGGGTCTCCAGGATTGGCCGCTGATGATTAGCGAAGACCAGACGCGCCCCCCCCCCCCTTTCTACTCTGCCATCATTAGTGCCTGACTTCTGCCCTCCTCATGCTCCTGCTCCAAAGGTAAGAGCAGGGAGCACAAGGTGCATGCTGGCTTTTTATGGGACAACAATGGCTTCCCAGAAAGCCCACAGACAGGGCTTCCAGGTAAATCTCCATTGGTCGAAACTACACTCTGGAACTAACCTGAACAACAAGGTCATTTGGGGAACAGAGCTTGCTAGGGGCACAAATTGCCAATTGCCACTCACTCCAAAACAGGCCAAACAAGTAAGGAAGAAGGGAAGCCTGAAAGTGAGTTGGTTGCTGGGTGCGTCACCAGAATGGAAGCACCGATTTACCGATGCTGTCAGGCAGAGTGCTGGTGTCTTGGCTATAACCTCAATGTGACATCTAAATAAATACAGCTTACCAGCCAGCACTGTAATACGCATATATACCTAGCATATCTTTAGGAGTTTCTCCTATAAATGGCATTTAGCAAGTTGCTTATACAGGAATTATCCAACGTTTCTAAACTCATCTAGTTATTGAACATTTAATATCAACTTTTGACATAAAAAATATAGAACATCAGGGGCCCAGCATGATAGCCTAGCAGCTAAAGTCCTCACCCTGCATGCACCAGGATCCCATATGGACACCATTTCTAATCCCGGCAGCTCTATTTCCCATCCAGCTCTCTGTGGCCTGGGAAAGCAGTCAAGGACGGCCCAAAACACTGAGACCCTGCACCTGCGTGGGAGACCTGGAAGAGGTTCTGGGCTCCTGGCTTCGGATCAGCTCAGCTTCAGCCATTGTGGCCACTTGGAGAGTGAATCATTGGACGGAAGATCTTCCTTTCCGTCTTTCCTCCAATTTATATATCTGACTTTTCAATAAAAACAAATAGATCTTTAAAAAATATATGGAACACCAGAGCCAGGATTTCAGGTTAAACTGCCACCTGCAATGCTAAATCACTTGTCAGTGCCAGCTTGAGACCTGGCTGCTCCACTCCCAATCCAGCGCCCTGCTAATGTACCTGGGAAAGTGGTGGAAGATGGCCAAGAGGGCTTAGACCCCTACTGTCCACCCAGATGGAGTTTTAGGCTCCTGGCTTTGTCCTGGCCCAGCCTGGACATAGCAAGCATTTAGAGAATGAACCGTAAATAGATGCAAAATTGATTGCTTTCTCCCTCTCTCTTTCCTCCCTCCTTATATCTCTCCATCTCCCTAATTGTAAGATTCAAATTACTAGATAAATGTTTGTTGTTTCTTTTTTAAGTATAGGACACGGTGTATTCTGAAAGGTGCAGTTGTTATAAAAGCTAAAAATACTGATCTGGAAAACTACTTTTGCCCAGAGTAGATATTTGAGTGAGAGCATTAATCTATTAGTGAATTCTACTCATTCATGCATTCATGTATAGCTTGAAAAGGGGAACGATTGTCTCCCTGAGTTTGCTGCTGCTGAATCCTCTATAGATTTTGAGTGGATGTTGGGAAGAGTCCAGTGTGGGTTTACTTTTGTTAAATGACTTGAACTTAAGAGCCTAGGCAAACTTTAGATTTAACGTTCCCATCAAGGCAGACAAAAGAAATTTTAGTAGCAAATTACTGGGCCAATGACAAACAGTAACTCATTTCTTCTATAAAGGGCAAAGGAAAATAATCATTAAAATACAATCATTTTCCTAAGCCCTTTATTGCAGTATCAGGCAAGGGTTTCAGGAGCTTTGTACTCGTGTGTGGCGTGACGGCACAGCCAAGAGACTCTCACCCCTTCTCTGCAACTCAGGCCAGGGAGCTCTTTGCAACAGCACTTGTTAATCTTGTTAAATCTTAAGTGCCTCTTGGTTTTATGAGCC